CGAAATCTGCCCCTGGACTCTGCTTCGGAATTTGCTACTTCTGGAATGTTTTACATTTTACCAGCTTTCAAGCTTATGACACCTGTCTTCTTGAGTAGGCTCTGACGGTATGCATAGGTCCGATGAGCTCTTCGAGATTTGCCGGGAGGCCATCGATGCTAATGCCGATGGCGAAGTAAGCTTTGAAGAATTCCAGAACTACTTGTCCGATTACTCCACAATCGAGACGGTGCTTGGTAGCTCCTGAGACATGTGAGCTTTTCTGAATTATGGATACCTCCGTGGGGTCTTCATGCCAAGCGCAAGATTAAACAGGGGACGCTCCTTTGAGAAATTCCCACACGTGAAAGAAGCTTTTACGGCTGAATCGATTGCACGACTGGACAGAAAAATCGACCGATCTGCAAACGGATGCAAACGGTTGTTTCTCAAAAATTAAATCAAAGTTAGGTCCCCTGCTTACTCTAAATACGGTACTAGCGGGAGCAAAGGTTGGTTAGGAGAAATGCCCACGTGATGCTTTCGCTCATTCAGCCAAACTACCTAGAGCTATTCGCGTGCAGATTTCTGGCACGAACCAGAAACCATGTGCTGAAACCTGATGCGAGCACCGCATCGTCCAAACCAAGTTGTCGATGTTGATGCTGCATGTGACGAGATGCAACGGTTAACGGTTGAGATCAGATGGAGCACAGAAGCAGTCTAATCTTAGCTGAACGGTAGGTTTGAATCCAAATCGGCTGTCTCTCGCAGAGCTGCAAGATGGGAGACTCCGAGCAGCTGTTCGGAAGGCTTGGTGGAAGCCGCATGTTTTCCGACAGCTGCAACCTGTTGTACAGGGTGCCAATTTGCTGCGCTCTCTACATTACACAGGATGCAGCAGCGTAGTCAACTTGCGTGATGAAAGCGCGCTCATGGTCACCTTGGTTCGAAGGTAGTAAATTTAGACAAGCTGGCATCTGTTCAGCATGATGCATTTCAAGCTCAGGATGTCCAGTTCGCACCAAAGTAGGAAAGGCAGTCTTCAAATTCACCAGTATCCTTAAAGTGCGCTTCGTTGACGCCATGTTTCGCGCATTGTCAGCAACGACTGGCGCCTTTTCGCGCACCAGCG